CCCTTTTTGTGCTTCTTATGAATGACTCTAGTTTAGGAAATTATGCGTTTTGCTTTGACCAGATCCTGGATTTTGTATTGACCTAAGAGCTTGATTTGATTAGGAGGAATAATGAATGATAGATTTCAATTTCAATCAGCTAAAGTGTTTCTTGTTGATTTGGGAAGATGCGTTCTGCGTCTTATGCCGTTTTAGATTCGACATTTGTATCAAACATTTTCGAGTGTTATTCTTTTCTTGGGGTTGATCTTAATACCAAAACTGGAGAATTCTACTCAGCATTGGTTTGGGGATAATGATCAATTGGTTTGTAATGTAGTGACTTTGTTCTCTTTGTGTGTTTTCGGGTGAGTAGATACAGAGCGGTTACAAGCGCGTATTACAGAGGAGCAGTTGGTGCGATGCTGGTTTACGACATGACTAAACGCGAAACGTTTGATCATATCCCTCGTTGGCTTGAAGAATTGAGGGCGCATGCTGATAAGAACATTGTCATTATCTTGATTGGAAACAAGTCTGATTTAGAAGATCAAAGAGCAATTCCTACGGAAGACGCGAAAGAGTTTGCGGAGAAAGAAGGGCTTTTTTTCCTCGAGACATCAGCTTTAAACGCAACTAATGTCGAAAACTCATTCAACACTCTTATGACGGAGATCTTTAATACGGTGAACAAGAAGAATCTCGCATCTTCCGAGTCGAATAACCCGGGTTCGTTGGCTGGTAAGAAGATTGTTATTCCAGGTCATGGACAGCAGGAGGTTCCGGCTAAGACCAGCTCGTGTTGCAGTTCTTCTTGATCTGTGTATCGTTTACAAACAATTTTTTGTTTTTTTTTGGGTTTTGAATTATGGTGATAGAGAATGCTACTTGATTTGTATATTCTTTTGGAATCTGGCTTTGTTTGCTGGTTCATTGAAACATTTGGTGCAATTGGACACTGATAGAAACAAAAAAAAGTATTGCAACATTAATAGTTTTTGTTTGAAATATGAAACAAGAATTATGGCCTGATTAGGTCAGATCAGCTTCAAGTATTTTTACTTAGTTATGCAAGTATTTGAGTTATGGCTTGATTAGAAACCGAACCAAAATTATCGAAACTAAACCAAAATCAATTTTTCTTAAATATCCGAAAGAAACCACAACACCTTGTACCGAAATTCAAAATTATCCGATCGGTACCTAAACCGAGATCGGAATGCACAGGCCTAAACGATTGGGCTTCGTAATATTTCTTCTACTTATTTTTTGCTTTAAGTAGTAAACTCTAGTTTATTTTTGCAAACATTAAAAAAAAAAAAAAACCCTAGAAGATGGGAAGCACGGTAATCGAAAGCGATTGTTTTTTCTTCTAAAATTTTTCTCATATCTCTTTTGCTAATTTTTTTGATGATTTTGTTTCGTTCGATGAGAAAAACTTTCAGTTTCAAGCTGCCACACCTTTGTTTAAGACGATTCATCATTGGCATTGCAAAAGCCACACAAAAGTACGATTCTTACTTTTTGTCTTGTCCCAGCTTTGTGCGCTGGACATGTCTACGTTGGTATGTATATATATATGGATTTTCATGCTTTTGAAATTTTCGATTTTGATATAGATGTTTCTCGACGTACATATTGAGAAAAAAATAAAATAACAAGTATATTGCTCCGTAGGAAATTTGAAAGATGATACGAAAATCGGCTTCAACTGTATGAAGCTAAAGTTAGAAAGGTAACCCGAAAAGCAAAACAAATATATATATATAATAAATTGTATAGGAGTTTTGAACCATTGATTCATAATATCTCATACCATACGGGAATTTGTTTTCCGGAATCCGGACACAAGAGAACTAATTTTCTCCCTTTCAAAGGAGGGTATAATAGTTTGCTTTATTGGTTTGCTCATGTTTTGTTTCAGATGCGTTTGGATCCTGAAGCAGGACACTTGCTTAAGTTTATAGAGGCTTTACCCGATTCTTAAAGAGAAAAACTTCAAAGAGGGCAAACTTTTCATGATTGATCGGTTTTGTGTAGTTTCTTTATGCTAAAACTTTCTAATATATTATGAAAAAAAATCATTTTAATATATTAAATATTCGATCCGTAATGCTATTTTGATTCATCTCACTTGCTTGAACCAAACCGTTGCGCTTGTTGTCGGACTGTGTATGACAGGACCGTCTCAAATTATTGGTAGGCAATGTTAATTTTTTTTTAAACCTAAATTTAATATATTAAAATGATGTTTTCATAATTATGAACTCTAATTAATGTATATATACTGTATGCTGTTAGTTTCCTTTTGAATTGGAGGGAAGAAGATAAAAGCAAATTCCTTAGAGAAACCAATTATATCGTTTTTGTTCTTCACACCAATCTACTCCCAAAAAGAATAGTATATACGCTCTTCACTCACAACCCAATTTTAAGTCTTAACAAGGCCGTATCAAGGCTTACAGAAGAAAATATTGATTAACATGGTAATCTAATTATTGATTGCTTGGAATCAGAAGCGGAGATATACGAAACAAACAGGGAATTAATATTTTTTAACATAGTAATCTAATTATAGATTGCTTGGACTCAGAAGCGGATACACGAAGCAAGCGGGGAATCAATATTTAAGAAAATATATATTTTCTTAGAAAACGGGTACGTGTTGAAAGTAGTAAAACTTCAAATACCAAATTATGTTAGCAAAACAAATTGTTTTAAACAACATAAAATCAAGTAAAATAGCATTAAAAAAAATAGCATTAAAAAAATAGCATTACAACCCTAGTGTAAATAAAAACTGTGTTTTCAGAGAAATGGAAATTAGCGATTAAACTGTAGACTCATCATTTGGAAATTAGCGATTAAACTGTAGACTCATCATTTCTTCATCTGTTCAAGTAAGGTCGTTCTTCTACTTCATCTGTTCCTCTAGATGAGCAATCAATTTTTCTTTCTTCTCAAGCGCTTTACACTTGTCAGCCAAAAGTTGGTTCTTGTCGTTCCTCGAGGACTGATGATCAAACAGGAGTTTGAATGGGGATCCATAATATTCTAAGAAAAATAAGAAAAGCAAAGGATTTAGCCATTTAGGTAGCTAGATTAAGCTTCTTCTTGTCGAATCTCAATGACATAAATAACATACTACAGTATGCACCGAAACCAAAACAACCAGCATGAACCAAAAAGCTTCCCGTTATCGTGACAATCGCCTCGCCGAGGGTGGTGATTTCATCAACTACTAGAGACACAAATACAAAGAAGAAATCATCCTAATAAGAAGTTTTGAAAAGTTAAAACAAAACGAGGAAAGGAGGATTGATCCTACCTTTCTTATCCTTATACGAGAAAGAAGAGAAGTAATGTGGAGATCCAGATGATGATATCTCTCTTCGACGATACTGCAAATTTTGATTTCACAACTAGATATATCAACAAAAATCCCATCTTTTAC